CTCTCTCTCTCTCTCTCTCTCTAATTGTCTGTCTGTCTGTCTCCATCCATTCATCAGTCTCTTTCTCGTCCAAACTAGCAAAATGAGTCTTCCTCGCAACGTAGGTAAATTTAGAAGAAGAAAAAAAATAGTTATCATCTCCCTTGCAATCAAATACGTTCAATAACATTGTGCGCTTGAGATAATGAGTTTTTCACACCCGTCCATTCGATCTGTTGGAACGGCACACTGTCCATTATGTACCTTGTCGGATGGGGAACCACAGAATTAGGGAAAAGGAAAAAGGTGCAACAAACGAGTCCAAACGATAATGGCCACCGCACTGGTCAATTTGCGTTCATTTGAAAAATTTCATCGATTGCAGGAATCCCAGTCGACAGTTGTAAACTCTACTGATGGAAGTAACAATGAAAATTTTTTTAAAGCATCAATTCTAAAATTCATCATCATCAAGAGCATCCTAATGATGAAAAAATAGCGCATATCAGAATTTCTGTTACTAATGCTCCCCTCTACTCCAAAGAAATGGCTAAGAGAAAGCGAAATGTGATCTGAAATAGGTAGGCCTACTCTTCATTTTCACAACGCTAAACGTCTGACAGCAGAATTAGAAGGTTCACAACGATTACTTCAGAAGTGGATCACAACTGCATACGTGTCTCGATTTTTAGGAACGTACTTATTGCTGTTGGAGTGCTCTCTAGACGGGTAGTTGGAGGGTGTCTCTTGCACATTCTGCTTCTTTACAAAATCCCTAACTGTGTGTGTGTGTGTGTGTGTGTGTGTGTGTGTGTGTGTGTGTGTGTGTGTATAACACACACACATTATATAGTTTTCGGTCTGTCTGCCTTGTTTTTCTTCAGCACTGTAATGACTGTCACTGTGTCGATAGCCAATAGAAACTTATAATAATTCCCCATTTTTCATGTTTCCAGTGTCAGTGGTTAAAACAAGCGAGGCCAACAGAGAACTACTCATACTTCGTACATAATTAAACCTTTCTGAACGGAGAGCACGAGTAATTTCGAAGAAGGCTGTATTATTATGTCAATACTTTAAACAGACGTTCTGGTGTCCTCATTAAAACCAATTGACGATTAATGAGTCGATGTGAAATAAATCCAAACAAACACGCAAGTGACACCCTCTTTTAAGAACCCTGCCATAATTAAAGATAAGGTAGAGTAGATTTAAAGCTAACTTTTTTGTGAGTACATTGTATGTTTCTGTGGGGACAAATTCCCGTTCCGTCTGAGCATAATGTGTTGATCGGTGTGATTATACGGACAAAAATCTACATACATAGAGGGTGAAACAATATCAATATAATTGGTCTCTGTGCTGGCCTTTCTTCTTTCTTTATTTTGACCTTCCCCTTTTCTTTATGTCTTTCTGTTTTTCTTTCTTTCTTTCTTTCTTTCTTTTTCGTTCGTTCTGTCTGTCTGTCTTTTTTGTTTATTAGTCAAGACCAAGCCTGACATGAAACCCCCCAGGAAAGGTGAAAGAGAGGAAGGTTGAGATCCACTGGGGGACGAGATCTACAGGCAGATCCTAGACATGTTTAAATGGGACACAGCGGGCTGGGAGTGGAGAAGATCGCCCCACAACAGAGACAGACGGAGAGCCTTTCTTGGCGACGTATACCCAATACCAGGGTGAAAGAGGCGAATGGTGATGATGAGCCAGGTTTTTATGCGGATTTAGGGCTAATGGGTTTTTTTAAAACAAAAATTATGTGTGTATTAATTGTGCCTCGTAATGACTCACCCACACTCCAGGCTTGGAAAAGTTGACAGCTACAGTCAGGATAAAAGCTACAATCGCCAACCGCCTTGTGGTCAGTTTGACCTTATCGCCTCTGACATAAATGGACAGGCTTTTCATCGGCTGTGGACAGAAACGCAAAAAGAATAGTTTAAAGTTGTTTTTCTATTTTTGTCTGTGTACATGTATGTATGTTTGTTTGTGTGTGATCTGGAACATCCCATGGCTGTCACTGTTCATCATTTTCCTCAACTCGGGTGCTCTTTAGAAAACCGTTATAATAATAATCCTGGTCGTTTCCTGTTTCCCATCTCGTTCAATTTCTCTTATAAATAAGTTACCCTTGGTCTACCTCTGTCTCTTTTGCCTGCCCCACCCCCAACCCCCGTGAGAGCAAGATACTCGAGACGCTTACATCGAATTAAGAGTTTTTACATTCAGGTGTCATCACTCACCATTGCAAAACAAGCCCGCAAAAATCCCAGACACTCTCGGCCTCTGTCTCTCCACTGACTTCTGACTCCCGCTCTTGGGTCGCTCAAGTGTCCCGTGGATCCAGAGGGCAGCGTCTCTGGTATGACAACAGCTAGGATGACAGCCAGGATGCCAAAGCCAAGACCGATGATCAAAAGTCCTTTCATATTCCACTTCAAACCTTGGCCAGCTGCCAGCATAGCTGCGTGGTTTTAGGTTAAAGAGAGTTCGATGAGTTTTAGTTTTTAGTGTAAGTAAAGAGTTTGAGATTGAATAAAAGAGTTTAATTAAAGTATTGGAGTTTAAATAAAGAGTTTGAGCATCGAGTTTGAGTTTGAATAAAGAGCTTGAGTAAAGAGTTTGAGTTTACATTATAAGTTTAACCCAAAAAGAATAAAATTCATATTGTTCTTGTATAAAAGCCAAGACTACTTAATAAAGTTGACAACACCTATCCGTTTTCTTGATATTCCGTACTACATCCCGCAAACACTGACGATTAGACTTACTAAAAGACTGAACCAGGGTCTGGCCCGCCTCCATACTCGTGATGTGTATTGACCTGCGGGGCCCAGGAACTGTGACGTCAGAGATGACGCTAAACATGGTGGTCAACATGGCAGCAAAACTCCCACCGAGAGCTTCGGCAACGTGAGCCAGAAAAAAAAGGTTCATAGAGAGGTCCATGCCTATGACAAGGGCGTAAATACCGCATTTCAACATGGTCCCTATAATCTGTGGGCAAAAAAAAAAAGATTTTCTGAATTGGAGTTAAGGAGTTTTAGTCAAGTGAAGAACGTGAACATAATGACAATCATTTAGTGTTGGGAAAATGAGATGGAAGCGAATAAGTCAAAATGTTCAGACGACGACTTATTCCCACATCTTGCAGGTTGCTTCACAATAAGAATATTGTGTTAGAATACTACTTTCCGGGTATCTTAAAACATTTATTGAAGTAATGTCAAAGATGTTCCCTCTTCATAAAGTACAAGGAGTACATAAGCTGTTGTGTGGATGAATTACAGTTCAAGACCTTTCCATGATAGGGGGATGGGTGCCTTTAATGGCGTGGAGTCAGAGAGAGAGGGGGAGAGAGAGAGA